ATGTGCCGAGCGCCGGCGCCTCGATGCGGAGCGGCGCATGCGCAGTGCCGCCCGCCGCTCTGCGCAGGTGCCGCTTTGCTGCCGCCATGTTGGTTGAGGTCTTGAAGCGCGGCCGGTGCTGCCGGCCTGTGCTCGCACGCTAAGGGCAGCGAGATCGATGGCGAAGCAGGTCACAAAGCCAGTCGACAAGGAGCTCGATTTGTGTAACGCGGAGTAGTAAACTATGTCGATTATCTGTTCCCGGCCCTCAGGGGAAGCAGCCTGTGTGTAGGTCCGGCCCCGTGGCGGCTCAGGGCCCGGAACCTCTGCTGCGCCAGCGGGTCTCGCTGGGCGCCTCTGCCTGGGTTGCCAGGAGAGGTGTCCTGTCTGATTCACGGGCTGGTGCAGCCCGCAGAAACGCCTCGGGGAATTCTGTCTGGTTTTGAATTAACCCTAGGGTGAAGGAGGGTTGTAGCTGGTGCTTCGCGGGAACCACGGTGGGGCTTGAACCTGGCCGAAACGGAGATTTCCTGACCCACGTTTTAGCTTTATTTTGCTAGAGTAATTAAGTTAGATGTGATTTTTTGTGTCTTCACAGTTAACATCTGATAGCAATTTGTGGAGAATAAAGAGAAGCAGTAGCTTGAAAGTGCCTGTAGGCATTAGCTAACGTTGGGGTTTAGTTTCCAGTATTGAAAAGGCATTATATCTGAGCATGTTCGCTTCTTGAAGGTACTTTAGAAATCACTGTGGTAGTGGTAGTTCAGGATAAATAAACAATAGGGATTGAGGTCGCAGCCTTTGAATTTTTGGAATAATTTTGTGGGCTGCATACCTTCACTTCTATGAATAATTATGCAGGCTTTTTCAGAAGCCATTCTAAGTTGCAAAGGTTCCACCTGGTTGCATATCAAAACATTTTTTGCAGGGGAAGCATACTCAGATAATTCTTAAACTATAAGTTATGTTTGGACAGTTAATCTTTCTAAAAAGATGGGAATGCTAGTTAGAGAGTTCTTGATTCAGTTACATGCCAGGGGCAAAAAAAAAAAAGTTACTTTCATATTACAGAGTTTGCTTGAGTATAGAGAAAATCTGTTATTTAGGAAGCTTATAAAGAACAACGTAGATTGAGTTGAATATAGAAGCAAAAAAAAAGGCTGTTGACTGAAATGTTATTTACTGGTGGAGAAGGATAGTATGTTTTTTAGTTTACAGCAATGCATGGTAAGGGAAATGGTGTGGCAGTGGGATGCCACATGCAATGTGTACATGCCACAAATTAAAATGAATTTGTGTCAAGTTTTAAGGTCCTATTTATTTATCTTTGTTTAATGTCTTAATGTAGATGCTATGTAGCATAACTTTTTGAAATCCAAGCATGAACAATACATTAAAATACTTTTTTGGAAAGGCTGTGTTATGTTATGCATTGATCAGCCATGTAGTCCCATGTAACTTCATAATTTAGTAAGTGTTCAACATTACTTATTTGTCATTGAATCAATGTAGCTAAGGGGATTTGTCTTGTAGAATCCAAAATACTGACATATTGTAAATTATTTTCAAAATAAAGTCCTTAAATGGTTTACTGAGAAGACACTAAAGAAAACAAACACACAAAACCCCTCAATGTGACACAAAGAAAGAGAGAATTCATGGCTTCTATAATTCTTCCAGCACAGCATGCCACACTCATACTTCCTCAGTCACTTTAAGCAGAGCTGATTTATTTTTGCAGAATTTGAATGCAATAAAGCAGAAAATCTGTGTCCTACTCCTCAGGTGGGATTTCACACTCTGCTTGCCAGTTCAATAGCAATGACATTCATTTCTCAGGTTTGCTTTCCTCCTCTTCTCCCCAAGGTTTGTTTGTATTACTTTTGTTTTCTTCATACCCAAACAGAGAGGTACAGCACTCTCATACTCACTAAAATAGTTATTTGTTTGAAAGTCCCTGAAAGCTTGGAAGTATTGTAAAAATTGAAGTTTTTTAGCAAGACTGTCCATAGCAGCTTAGTAAGCAACTGTAATTCATCACCAATATAATGGGCTGGAAACATACTTCCAGATGGAACAGGTAGCTCCTTCGTCCAAGATTGTCAGCGTTCAAGAAACAAAATGAAGAACACAGGATTCTCGAAAATACCTTTGTAGCCACTGCTCTTCCCCCTTCCTGCCCTTTGCTCAAGGTCAAGGAAACCTAGCGTCTCATTATTACTGCTGTTGTTTGTTATGAAACCTGTAATAAAAACAGGGTTTTTTCCTTCATCTTTCTTTTCTAACTGAAACGCAATTCTCTGAACTAAGCCAGGACAATAACCAAGAGCTGTGATAATGGAAGCTTCAAGCATTGTGCAATCCTCACAGCTTTGGTTGGGCCCATGTATGCGTAATGATGCTTCACGCTTTTCACTGTTGTTACCTTCCTGTATGAAGATTGAGGGACAAGTAAAAGTTACTCTTAATTTAGCAGTATGGAAATATTTGCATCTCACCTGTGTGTGTGTGTAATCAAAATCACATGCTAGAAAGGAACACAAGTGTGCATTGTGATATGGGAAAGAAACATGAGTGTGCTTTATGTTATGGCTGTGCTAGTCTTCAGTATTTTGGTTCTACTCTTTCACTGATGTGTTCTGCTATGTCTGGGAGCATGATAATACAACACATCACTGAACATGGACAAAGACAGTGAACAAAATGACAGGAACTATGGAAATATTCTGTAGCAAGTGCAAGCAGTGGTGCTGTGAGCGCTTGCAAAGTCAATATACACGAAACCTCACATTTAAGACAGAAAAGGTTCTTTGAAGGGTGAACAACTTTGGGATCTATATTCAATTGGAAAGTGTGAAAGAGAAGGAATTGTGCCCTATAAATCAGTGGTTGCTGGTCAGTTGTACTGCCTGCCATCCACCGGTGTAAATTGCCAGAAGGAGCTGAGGAGGCTGCAGTGATTTACA